AATGTGACATAATTCAAAATGTCAAAATGTGTGTCCAGCTGAACTGTGAAATATCGTTTAGATGCTATCACTAAACAATGATAATAACACTGAAAGCGATAATAATAATGCCCATAAACATAGCAGGATCATCTCCTTCTCATCATTGCATTCAGAAGGTTCAAAAAAATCAAATTTCTCAGCTAGTTTGATTGTGCCGTTTGATTTGACATATAATTTGACAATTTGACATTTGACATTGACATTGACATGTGTCAAATTTGACAATTTGACAAGTTGCTACAAATAATGACCGCAGTAAAATAGTGAACCGCAATTTAGGGATTTGTCCAAAGCGTTGATATTCTTGCGGAATGCGTTGGCCATTCTGCAAGTGGTGACTGTGGACGACGTTCACGCCAAGTACCGTTCGGTAATACTGTATCATTTATCGGTGGTCTTACGAATTAAAGGTTCGCTGGTGGACGCGAAAGAGGCTTGTGATGTGAGTTGATTTCTAGAGAGAGNTGGTCTTACGAATTAAAGGTTCGCTGGTGGACGCGAAAGAGGCTTGTGATGTGAGTTGATTTCTAGAGAGAGCATTTGCTCTTTTTCGGCTCCTCATTTCGGCTCCTTTTCTCAAAAACTCACCTGAAACCATGAGAGATATCGGAGGGAGTGCTGCTGTCGAGCCTCCCGGATTAATATCACTTTGACAGCGGACGATTCGAGATATCCGGAAATTACAGATGATAAGGAGCCTCGTAAGGCCTCTCTCCCCATTTGAGATTTTTCAGGAGATCATGAAAAGACCAAGTGATCGATTTGAATTAAATTCAGTCTATTGATTAGCCGTCCTATGCCCTTTTAGTCAGCGTTTTGGCCGATTGTTTTAATAGTATTTGTAGTTGTGGTGCCCATTTTAGGAAGCCCTTCAGCTGTCGTCCGAAACTGGTAATCGTGCGATTCACGCCAGATGCTTATCGTCGCTAGCGGATATCTATCGTGAAATGGGCGAATCTGAAGCCCAAGAAACTATCACGGTAAAAAAACTATCTGTTGTTTATCTGTTTGCTTAAACATCAAGTGCCATAACTAATCGCGAGTTTATGCGTCTGTTATCACCAGTAATATAAAAACATAAATCCAGTCTCTTCATTCGATG